ACCTTAACAACTTACTGTGTATGATAACTTGTGTACCTTAACAACTTACTGTGTATGATAACTTGTAAACCATCGGTCAGATGACCACAAACTTCAGTTGTGGGTCATTATTGCCAGTTAGGGGTTTATCAGGAGTTGTTAAAAGGATTTTTACCGAGTAAAAATAGTGAGAATTAATCCCCTTTTCAGGCGTTTCTACGACTTACTGCCAGTTTTAATTCTTTAAAAAAAATTGATTTCCCTTTGTCTCTGTTTTTTTTCTAATTTACAACCGAGATGTTTTGAAATCTCTGTCAATCAATAGTGTTTTTAGTTTTTCATTACAATTCTTACATATTTTTTTTTAGTTCTGAGAGGCATTTTGTCCACCAGTACGATGTCTGGTGAGTTAATATTCCCTCGTAATAATATTATTATAATAATAATGTAATTGTTCTAATCATTGTTTTTAGCTATTAATTTTGTTATTGTTAACAGTTCATCACTATTATAACTTGCTTAGTTAACAGAACACTGAAGACCAGTTTAGAGATTAGTGAAGAGATTACAGAGACACATACTGTGTCCAGGAACTAGAGCCCAACATTTCATTAACTGAGGTAGAGCGTTTATGTAATAAAGTATTTACAAAATTTATTAAGCATAATTATTAGTATTTGTTGCACAATTTATGTATTCAGTCGTTTAAAACACTACAGTGAACCTGTGACAAGTATCTCGTGTCTTTTAACCATCGTCCACTGGAGTTTACCTGGAGAGAGTTCCGGGGGTCAACGCCCCCGCGGCCCGGTCTGTGACCAGGCCTCCTGGTGGATCAGAGCCTGATCAACCAGGCTGTTGCTGCTGGCTGCACGCAAACCAACGTACGAGCCACAGCCCGGCTGATCCGGAACTGACTTTAGGTGCTTGTCCAGTGCCAGCTTGAAGACTGCCAGGGGTCTGTTGGTAATCCCCCTTATGTGTGCTGGGAGGCAGTTGAACAGTCTCGGGCCCCTGACACTTATTGTATGGTCTCTTAACGTGCTAGTGACACCCCTGCTTTTCATTGGGGGGATGGTGCATCGTCTGCCAAGTCTTTTGCTTTCGTAGTGAGTGATTTTCGTGTGCAAGTTCGGTACTAGTCCCTCTAGGATTTTCCAGGTGTATATAATCATGTATCTCTCCCTCCTGCGTTCCAGGGAATACAGGTTTAGGAACCTCAAGCGCTCCCAGTAATTGAGGTGTTTTATCTCCGTTATGCGCGCCGTGAAAGTTCTCTGTACATTTTCTAGGTCGGCAATTTCACCTGCCTTGAAAGGTGCTGTTAGTGTGCAGCAATATTCCAGCCTAGATAGAACAAGTGACCTGAAGAGAGTCATCATGGGCTTGGCCTCCCTAGTTTTGAAGGTTCTCATTATCCATCCTGTCATTTTTCTAGCAGATGCGATTGATACAATGTTATGGTCCTTGAAGGTGAGATCCTCCGACATGATCACTCCCAGGTCTTTGACGTTGGTGTTTCGCTCTATTTTGTGGCCAGAATTTGTTTTGTACTCTGATGAAGATTTAATTTCCTCATGTTTACCATATCTGAGTAATTGAAATTTCTCATCGTTGAACTTCATATTGTTTTCTGCAGCCCACTGAAAGATTTGGTTGATGTCCGCCTGGAGCCTTGCAGTGTCTGCAATGGAAGACACTGTCATGCAGATTCGGGTGTCATCTGCAAAGGAAGACACGGTGCTGTGGCTGACATCCTTGTCTATGTCGGATATGAGGATGAGGAACAAGATGGGAGCGAGTACTGTGCCTTGTGGAACAGAGCTTTTCACCGTAGCTGCCTCGGACTTTACTCTGTTGACGACTACTCTCTGTGTTCTGTTAGTGAGGAAATTATAGATCCATCGACCGACTTTTCCTGTTATTCCTTTAGCACGCATTTTGTGCGCTATTACGCCATGGTCACACTTGTCGAAGGCTTTTGCAAAGTCTGTATATATTTACATCTGCATTCTTTTTGTCTTCTAATGCATTTAGGACCTTGTCGTAGTGATCCAATAGTTGAGACAGACAGGAGCGACCTGTTCTAAACCCATGTTGCCCTGGGTTGTGTAACTGATGGGTTTCTAGATGGGTGGTGATCTTGCTTCTTAGGACCCTTTCAAAGATTTTTATGATATGGGATGTTAGTGCTATTGGTCTGTAGTTCTTTGCTGTTGCTTTACTGCCACCTTTGTGGAGTGGGGCTATGTCTGTTGTTTTTAGTAACTGTGGGACGACCCCCGTGTCCATGCTCCCTCTCCATAGGATGGAAAAGGCTCGTGATAGAGGCTTCTTGCAGTTTTTGATGAACACAGAGTTCCATGAGTCTGGCCCTGGGGCAGAGTGCATGGGCATGTCATTTATCGCCTGTTCGAAGTCATTTGGCGTCAGGATAACATCGGATAGGCTTGTGTTAATCAAATTTTGTGGCTCTCTCATAAAAAATTCATTTTGATCTTCGACTCTCAGTCTGGTTAGCGGCTTGCTAAAAACTGAGTCATATTGGGACTTGAGTAGCTCACTCATTTCCTTGCTGTCATCTGTGTAGGACCCATCTTGTTTAAGGAGGGGCCCAATACTGGACGTTGTTCTCGATTTTGATTTGGCATAGGAGAAGAAATACTTTGGGTTTCTTTCGATTTCATTTATGGCTTTTAGTTCTTCCCGCGATTCCTGACTCCTAAAGGATTCTTTTAGCTTAAGTTCGATGCTTGCTATTTCTCTGACCAGTGTCTCCCTACGCATTTCAGATATATTGACCTCTTTTAGCCGCTCTGTTATTCTTTTCCGTCGCCACTGTATAGGTGAGTTGTACATAATTAAACTGATAAACTCTCTTGTATTTTTAAGAACATTGTATAACTGATGATATCATCATTGATTTTGTTGCAGGTACACGAGTTATCATACACAGTAAGTTGTTAAGGTACAGATGTAATATATACAGACTTTGCAAAAGCCTTCGACAAGTGTGACCATGGCGTAATAGCGCACAAAATGCGTGCTAAAGGAATAACAGGAGAAGTCGGTCGATGGATCTATAATTTCCTCACTAACAGAACACAGAGAGTAGTCGTCAACAGAGTAAAGTCCGAGGCAGCTACGGTGAAAAGCTCTGTTCCACAAGGCGCAGTACTCGCTCCCATCTTGTTCCTCATCCTCATATCCTACATAGACAAGGATGTCAGCCACAGCACCGTGTCTTCCTTTGCAGATGACACCCGAATCTGCATGACAGTGTCTTCCATTGCAGACACTGCAAGGCTCCAGGCGGACATCAACCAAATCTTTCAGTGGGCTGCAGAAAACAATATGAAGTTCAACGATGAGAAATTTCAATTACTCAGATATGGTAAACATGAGGAAATTAAATCTTCATCAGTGTACAAAACAAATTCTGGCCACAAAATAGAGCGAAACACCAACGTCAAAGACCTGGGAGTGATCATGTCGGAGGATCTCACCTTCAAGGACCATAACATTGTATCAATCGCATCTGCTAGAAAAATGACAGGATGGATAATGAGAACCTTCAAAACTAGGGAGGCCAAGCCCATGATGACACTCTTCAGGTCACTTGTTCTATCTAGACTGGAATATTGCTGCACACTAACAGCACCTTTCAAGGCAGGTGAAATTGCCGACCTAGAAAATGTACAGAGAACTTTCACGGCGCGCATAACGGAGATAAAACACCTCAATTACTGGGAGCGCTTGAGGTTCCTAAACCTGTATTCCCTGGAACGCAGGAGGGAGAGATACATGATTATATACACCTGGAAATTCCTAGAGGGACTAGTACCGAACTTGCACACGAAAATCACTCACTACGAAAGCAAAAGACTTGGCAGACGATGCACCATCCCCCCAATGAAAAGCAGGGGTGTCACTAGCACGTTAAGAGACCATACAATAAGTGTCAGGGGCCCGAGACTGTTCAACTGCCTCCCAGCACACATAAGGGGGATTACCAACAGACCCCTGGCAGTTTTCAAGCTGGCACTGGACAAGCACCTAAAGTCAGTTCCTGATCAGCCGGGCTGTGGCTCGTACGTTGGTTTGCGTGCAGCCAGCAGCAACAACCTGGCTGATCAGGCTCTGATCCACCAGGAGGCCTGGTCACAGACCGGGCCGCGGGGGCGTTGACCCCCGGAACTCTCTCCAGGTAAACTCCAGGTAAACAGGTACACAAGTTATCATACACAGTAAGTTGTTAAGGTACAGGTACACAAGTTATCATACACAGTAAGTTGTTAAGGTACAGGTACACAAGTTATCATACACAGTAAGTTGTTAAGGTACAGGTACACAAGTTATCATACACAGTAAGTTGTTAAGGTACAGGTACACAAGTTATCATACACAGTAAGTTGTTAAGGTACAGGTATACAAGTTATCATACACAGTAAGTTGTTAAGGTACAGGTACACAAGTTATCATACACAGTAAGTTGTTAAGGTACAGGTACACAAGTTATCATACACAGTAAGTTGTTAAGGTACAGGTATACAAGTTATCATACACAGTAAGTTGTTAAGGTACAGGTACACAAGTTATCATACACAGTAAGTTGTTAAGGTACAGGTATACAAGTTATCATACACAGTAAGTTGTTAAGGTACAGGTATACAAGTTATCATACACAGTAAGTTGTTAAGGTACAGGTATACAAGTTATCATACACAGTAAGTTGTTAAGGTACAGGTATACAAGTTATCATACACAGTAAGTTGTTAAGGTACAGGTATACAAGTTATCATACACAGTAAGTTGTTAAGGTACAGGTATACAAGTTATCATACACAGTAAGTTGTTAAGGTACAGGTATACAAGTTATCATACACAGTAAGTTGTTAAGGCCTTCCCCTGGCATACCACTTCACCCACTTAAAAATGTAGTTATGAACAATAATAACAGAATATGGAAGATAGCAAGTTTATCTCTGCTCCAGAAGGTACAAATGGATAATTTGACTCACAGGAAACACTGGAACAACATCAGTGTGAGAGTTGAGCAGCAGTGATGGTAGACTTGGGTCTTGTCCTACGAGTGTCATCAACACAACGGGGATCCCAGGAACATATTCTATCACCTCACACTTGACACCTAATTCCTTCGCTTGTTCCTGCAGAAATCTGGTGCAGGAAGCTGTCAGGGAGAAGCATTTCAATGACGAACTCTAATAAACTATAGAACTGGTGGGGGTTAGAACCCATGGCGAGTGAATCGTAAAACTCCACCCATGAGTATGGAACTGGTGGGGGTTAGAACCCATGGCGAGCGAATCGTAAAACTCCAGCCATGGGTTCTAACCCCAACAGTTCCGTGGGTTGTCTGCAATCGTGTTATTATGATTTTCTGAGACAAACTGTAACTATAATAAAACAAATTTTATTTTATTTTATTTTATTTTGATCTATCAACACAATGTACTAAACAGTATTTCTGCGACGTCATCCATATCTCCTTCAAGGAGACAAGATGATGGCAATATGATGGAGAAGGGTTCTTGATCTGAGTAGCTGGGGCTAGTCTCCAGGCCATGGACCACCGTGGCCTGGTGGTTAAAACTCCCGCTTCACTTGGCGAGAGTCCAGGTTCGATTCCCAGAGCGTGTTTCCTTACACCGGTTGTCTATGTTCCCCATCAGTAAAATAGGTACATGGGTGTTAGTGGACTGGTGTGGGTCACATCCTGGGTGTTAGTGGACTGGTTTGGGTCTCATCCTGGGTGTTAGTGGACTGGTGTGGGTCACATCCTGGGTGTTAGTGGACTGGTGTGGGTCACATCCTGGGTGTTAGTGGACTGGTGTGGGTCACATCCTGGGTGTTAGTGGACTGGTGTGGGTCACATCCTGGGTGTTCGTGGACTGGTGTGGGTCACATCCTGGGTGTTAGTGGACTGGTGTGGGTCACACCCTGGGTGTTAGTGGACTGGTGTGGGTCACATCCTGGGTGTTAGTGGACTGGTGTGGGTCACATCCTGGGTGTTAGTGGACTGGTGTGGGTCACATCCTGGGTGTTAGTGGACTGGTGTGGGTCACATCCTGGGTGTTAGTGGACTGGTGTGGGTCACATCCTGGGTGTTAGTGGACTGGTGTGGGTCACATCCTGGGTGTTCGTGGACTGGTGTGGGTCACATCCTGGGTGTTAGTGGACTGGTGTGGGTCACATCCTGGGTGTTAGTGGACTGGTGTGGGTCGCATCCTGGGTGTTAGTGGACTGGTGTGGGTCACATCCTGGGTGTTAGTGGACTGGTGTGGGTCACATCCTGGGTGTTAGTGGACTGGGGTGGGTCACATCCTGGGTGTTAGTGGACTGGTGTGGGTCACATCCTGGGTGTTAGTGGACTGGTGTGGGTCACATCCTGGGTGTTAGTGGACTGGTGTGGGTCACATCCTGGGTGTTAGTGGACTGGTGTGGGTCACATCCTGGGTGTTAGTGGACTGGTGTGGGTCACATCCTGGTGTTAGTGGACTGGTGTGGGTCACATCCTGGGTGTTAGTGGACTGGTGTGGGTCGCATCCTGGGTGTTAGTGGACTGGTGTGGGTCACATCCTGGGTGTTAGTGGACTGGTGTGGGTCACATCCTGGGTGTTAGTGGACTGGTGTGGGTCACATCCTGGGTGTTAGTGGACTGGTGTGGGTCACATCCTGGGTGTTAGTGGACTGGTGTGGGTCACATCCTGGGTGTTAGTGGACTGGTGTGGGTCACATCCTGGGTGTTAGTGGACTGGTGTGGGTCACATCCTGGGTGTTAGTGGACTGGTGTGGGTCACACCCTGGGTGTTAGTGGACTGGTGTGCGTAACATCCTGGGTGTTAGTGGACTGGTGTGGGTCACATCCTGGGTGTTAGTGGACTGGTGTGGGTCTCATCCTGGGTGTTAGTGGACTGGTGTGGGTCACATCCTGGGTGTTAGTGGACTGGTGTGGGTCACATCCTGGGTGTTAGTGGACTGGTGTGGGTCACATCCTGGGTGTTAGTGGACTGGTGTGGGTTTCATCCTGGGTGTTAGTGGACTGGTGTGGGTCTCATCCTGGGTGTTAGTGGACTGGTGTGGGTCACACCCTGGGTGTTAGTGGACTGGTGTGCGTAACATCCTGTTTGTTAGTGGACTGGTGTGGGTCACACCCTGGGTGTTAGTGGACTGGTGTGGGTCACACCCTGGGTGTTAGTGAACTGGTGTGGGTATCATCCTGAGTGTTAGTGGACTGGTGTGGGTCACACCCTGGGTGTTAGTGGACAGGTGTGGGTCACACCCTGGGCGTTAGTGGACTGGTGTGGGTAACATCCTGGGTGTTAGTGGACTGGTGTGGGTCTCATCCTGGGTGTTAGTGGACTGGTGTGGGTCTCATCCTGGGTGTTAGTGGACTGGTGTGGGTCACATCCTGGGTGTTAGTGGACTGGTGTGGGTCTCATCCTGGGTGTTAGTGGACTGGTGTGGGTCTCATCCTGGGTGTTAGTGGACTGGTGTGGGTCACATCCTGGGTGTTAGTGGACTGGTGTGGGTCACATCCTGGGTGTTAGTGGACTGGTGTGGGTCACATACTGGGTGTTCGTGGACTGGTGTGGGTCACATCCTGGGTGTTAGTGGACTGGTGTGGGTCACATCCTGGGTGTTAGTGGACTGGTGTGGGTCTCATCCTGGGTGTTAGTGGACTGGTGTGGGTCACATCCTGGGTGTTAGTGGACTGGTGTGGGTCACATCCTGGGTGTTAGTGTACTGGTTTGGGTCACATCCTGGGTGTTAGTGGACTGGTGTGGGTCACATACTGGGTGTTCGTGGACTGGTGTGGGTCACATCCTGGGTGTTAGTGGACTGGTGTGGGTCTCATCCTGGGTGTTAGTGGACTGGTGTGGGTCACATCCTTGGCGTTAGTGGACTGGTGTGGGTCACATCCTGGGTGTTAGTGGACTGATTTGGGTCACATCCTTGGTGTTAGTGGACTGGTGTGGGTCACATCTTGGGTGTTAGTGGACTGGTGTGGGTAACATCCTGGGTGTTAGTGGACTGGTGTGGGTCACATCCTGGGTGTTAGTGGACTGGTGTGGGTAACATCCTGGGTGTTAGTGGACTGGTGTGGGTCACATCCTGGGACAAAACTGACCTAATATGCTGGAAATACTCAGTATATCAAGTGACTTTCTATATAGTAGTATGTCATTGATGTCAGCCATGGTCTGTATACCTTGTACACGTACTTGTAGAAATAAAGATATTAAGTGCTTCTCATTTCCCAGGCGCTGTAGGACTCTTACGGTTTAGGAGTCTACCAGTGAAATTAATACGCGTCCCATTATGAAATAACATGTTAATTTCTGTCCAGAGGGGAGAGCAGAGGGATAGCTATTATGTTAAAAGGGTGGGTGGAGGGGGGGGGGCTAGGAGACTTATCATGAAGAAGCGCTATTATTAAGACTGCATTTATTTGGAGGGCTGAGGGTTGGTTTAGAAAGACACGTAAGCAAACACTATGACATATTTATTAGAAAACGTTTCGGTCCTGGGACCTTGATCACTTCTAACATACAGAGGTAGAAAGACATTATATATATAGGCGGAGAGTGAGGTGTGAGTGATGCATGGTGACCTGAAGAATGTCATGTTGGGATGAGGACAGGTAGACCATGAAAGTATGTGACTCCTGTGTTGTTGGGTTGGTGCTGCTTAAGTATCATGTATGCCAATGTTTTTGAAATTTTGTGGTTTCCAGTGTTGCGGTCTATTGTGTCGGTGACGGCGATTAGTGAGGCTTCTAGGCACCGTCGGCGTCTGAGGTCTGGTTCGGTGAGAACAAGTTGTGCCTCATTCCAGTTCATCAAATGCCCCGTGGAGTCTCTGTGGAGGACACAGGCGTACCTTACATCGTCTCCGTTAGAGGCATTTCGATCCTCATTCAGGCGGACTGCAAGATCTCTGCCTATCTCGCCTACATATTTCTTGGGACAGAATCCACAGGGGATAGTGTAGACGCCTGCTGTAAAAGTTAGAGGTGTGGAGCTGCGTTTCGTAGTGAGGTCTTTGATAGATGATGTGTTTATGGTGGAAACGTTGATGTTACTAATAGCAAGTGCCCGGCGAGTATTCGTGGCAACATCGCCACATGGGAGTACTATGAACTGCTTAGAGGGCTATTCCATGGGCGGTTTGTTGAGGATAGCTTGTGCCTTGAGTCTGCAATCTCGGATGAAAAAAGATGGGAACTGAAGAAGTGTAAAGGCTTGTGTTATGTAAGTGCATTCTTCTTCTAGAAAACAAGGTCTGGAGATGCGAAGAGCTCTCAAGAAGAAGCCAATGAGGACTCCTCTTTTAGTGCGGGTGTCTTGGTGTGAATAAAAGTGTATAAGATCGTCCTTGTTGGTAGGTTTTCTATACACTTTGAAGAGAAGTTTGTCACTGACGGGAGATCTGCAACTATGGTCTATTGGCACCCCCATATGTATGCAGGGACGCAGATGAACAGTTTTGTGCCCCTGACACTTACTATGTTATCTTCTAGTATACTCATTGCACCCCTGATTAGAGGTACTTTGCACCACCTATCAAGTCTCTTCCCTTCGTAGGGAGTAATTTCCGTGTGGATATTTGGGACTAGTCCCTCTAGTATTTTCCTGGAGTAGATTATGATGCATCTTACTCGCTTGAGTTTTAGGGAGTAAGAGTCAAGGGATTTCAACTGTTCCCAGTAATTTAGGTGTTTTGTCGTACTTGTGTGTACCGTGAAGGTCCTCTGTACATTCTACAGGTCACCAGTTTCACCTGCCTTGAAAGGCACCGTTGGTGTACATCAGTATTCCATCCTAGAGAGAACAAGCGATTAACAAAGTAACATTATTAAATTACATTATTGCTTTAGTACATTACATTATTACCGAAAATGATAGGACTGATACTTGGATCCCAAGTTTCAAGACTTGGGATGCAAGTATCAGTCCTATCAGACTGATACTTGCATCCCAAGTTTCAAGACTGGGGATGCAAGTATCAGTCCTATCATTTTCAGTCCTATCATTTTCCTAACAGATGTAGTAGAGGTATTGTTGTGATCTTTGAAAGTAAGATGCTGTGACATTGTCACTCCCAGGTCCTTCATGTCATTTTTTTGTTTTATTGTATGGCTGGAATTTGTTTTATACTTCGGTCCAG